CTCTCCCCCATCCCACCAGGGCTGGGGGGTAGGTGAGCAAATGGCTGTGTCGCACTTAGTTGCCGACTAAGGGCATATCAGCATCTCAGCCCAGTGCCACCACATGATGTTGGACCTCCTTCGCAAGAGGATTTCACGAAGGAAGAAAAACCCAAAACAAAGAATCTTGTCCCTGCCCATGGCAGGGGGGGTGGACTAGATGATCTTTAAAGGTCCCTTCCAACCCAAACCATTCTATGATTCTAGGGTTTCAGTACCCTAAAGATTCTCCAAAACCATCCAGTAACAGTAAGTCAGCTTGATCTACCAATTTCGATGAGATACTGGAGCATCTTGGCACAGAGGGTAACTTACATGCAAGAATGGAGAGCCAAGAAGGTGCATAACTTCATCTATGAGTCTTAACAGAATGAGAAACGTTGGGTCTTCATAATCAAATCTTCTCTCAAAGAGAATAGCAAAGGTGATGTTGGTGGGTGCCATATTCAAACATCGTAATTGGAAAGGTCCACCTAGAAATGAAGAAAATCATAAATGCATTAGTCATTTCTGGAGCAGCCCAGAGGTCTTCACAGAGGCTTTGTAAAGTAGCATGAAACACCCGATGCCATCTCCAGCTCACCTTTGAAGGATTTGATCAACTCAACGAGAAAGTGAAGCTCCTCAAGCATCCTTTCTTCTCCAAGATGCTTCCCCATGCCAAGGTCCCGCATGGTGGCTATGGTGAACCGCCGTGTCGTCTTCCAGAGCTCTTGAGAAGAAAAGAAAACACCTACGGAGGGATTGCATGCCCTGTTTGCCGAGGCGGTATGGGATTTTCTCAGAAACACCAAAAGCACAGCTGGGGAGCACATTGCAACCTGGTGGAGCCTGCCTGGGAGAGGACTGGGGGGCTCTGTGGGGGGCTGGCTTGGGAAAGCACCTCCCCAGGTAGGTTCAGGAGGGCAGGAGGCAATATTTTAAACAGTCGGGGGCTGTTCACACCAAAGCTCTGGGTTTGGCTTGTTTATAGCTTTGTCTTTTTGCAGCCATACACAGTAAAAAGCTCTGTGCGTGGTATATTTGTCTCAGGCTGACTTGTTTTTCCTTAGAGAAATGACCCAGCTGTTTCAGAGAGCAAGGCTAGGAGCAGATGACACTGCTCCGTCCCCGTCATGAACAGGACAAATGATTTCACTGAACAACTTGTGTTTTAGAGGATGAACTGTATGCTGTGCAGGCGGACAAGGAGGGGTGGCAGGGAGGCACCTTTGCTTACAGCTGGGGAATACCCCCCAGCTGGCTAACCCATCGGCCAGAAAAAGTGCCCAGCCAAGCGGGCACGGAGGTGTTTGGGTACAATTCAGAAGTCCTCCCTTCCCAGGAGGGCTTCCAGGACTGAACATAGTCTACCTCTTCATACGGTGGTTGGGAAAGTACCGTAGTGTACCCTTCCTCACACTGGGCCTCACTCTTAGAAACAAGATGAAAAAAACCCCCTCACATGCTCTATGCATTATATACATATTAGGTCATCAAATCTTTTCCTGTCAGCCCTGGATTATTCCCTTCATTGTTTTTCAATGTCTAGTCTTGGGCAATGTATTACTTTTTAACATGCAATTCAGAAACATGCCAAAGATCTGTTTACAGAAGTAATTGTTTGAGGTACAAACAGCCCGTGCTATTGCACTCTTGCCAGTTCTTGCAGTCTTTATCATGAGTCATGCGTGATCCACGCTTTGTCTGAACTCCCAGTAACCGTAGAAAAGAGACTGCACAAGGACCTCAGCCTTCACATTGTGAAAAATAATTTCCTTCCCTCTGTGCTGAAAAAAAAAAAACCCCTGAAACATGACCCAAGTGCCACTAAAAGCAAAAAACTGATACGGCAAATAAGATGATCCCCAGAAGTATTTTTCTTAAGAAAACAAATAACTGCCCGCAAGCCCCCAAAAATGTAGCCCTCGATGATAAGGACGCTGCTCAAAAATCTTAGAAACAACACATTTGAGAAACAGCATAGCAAGCACGTCCTTATCTTTTCAACCTGCCAGTACCGTTTCCATGTTGGATGTGATAGAATATGGGTATTGCTGGTCTGTCCGCAAACACATCCCCCGTGTTCAGAAGGGCATCCTTTACTGCCTCGTAGCCAGTCAGCACCACCACCTTCTGAAACCCCAAATGGACGGTGAACACGGGGCCATATTTCTCTGAAAGCTAGAAGGAGAGAAAAACCAGCGCGTGGAGGTCATCAGTGGGAGTGGTATGTCCTGCTGGGGTGGATAAAGGGTTGCCTTCCCTCCTCCTTCTGTGGCCAGAAGGGCTGGAGGGATGCCAGAGATAAAGCCCTGAGACACTTAAATGAAAGAGGAATCAGAACAAATAAACACTGGTCTGTTTAACCCAACAGCTTCTGTAAAGCCACTGTTTTTCTGAGCTGGTTGGGCTCAGTTTGGTGCAGTGGGTTAAAAGAGGCAGAAGGTAACAAGACATTTTGGGCACCAACAGCAGCATAAAAGCATCACCGAGATCTGCCAGACAGCTCTGGAGCAACTGCTGACCGGGCAGGCAGTAACGCCACCACAAGAGGATGAAAGAGCGGAGGTGTCCGAAATTTATTATAAAAAGTTAAATAAAAGCTTTGTTGCAATTAACGCAAAGAGGTATATAATATGATTCACCAAGGATGGACGTACGAAGGCATAAGAAACCACTGCTCTTTCAACTTGCCTTAGAAAATTACCAGAATAGCACTGTGCTGCACCATAGTTTTCAAGCCAGTGCACAGCAGGAGTTTATAATGAGATCTGAGAGAGCGGGTAGCAGGAGCTCTCTGGAGGCTCAAAAAGATGGTCCTGCCAGGCCTTACAAGGAATTAAGACCTGACTGAGAGCAATGGAGCCGAAACTGCATAAAGCTATCGTGAGATCAAGCCTGGTGTCCCATAAAAGGAGACCAGCTCTGGCGATGTAAACTAGAGGTGGCTCCAAAGCTTAGCAACCTCTCCTGCTGTACCAAAGCAAACAGGTAGCCCAGGCAGAGTCTAATCAGTGCTTCGGCAATATAGCCAGACTTGTTGAATTTATGCAAAAAAATAGTTCACAGGACACTGATTTCAATCATTTGTTCAAAATAAGGTTTCGGTTGCTGCATCATCTACTGTGCAACTTTCATGGGGAAATCCTACAGGGATTCTCCTTTCAGGGAGGATTTTCTACTCCAGGTCATTTGTTTGCTAATACCTTAAAAGTCTTCTGGCAAGTCAGCTTTCAGATCATTACTGCACTTCCACAAGCCCAATATAAAATCTCACCCCACCCGTAGCTGCAGCCCAGAGGACCCTCTCGCCATCCTCTGCCCTTTGCAGTCAGGGCAGAGCAGATTGCAAAGGGCAGAGGATGGCGAGAGGGTCCCCCGGGCAGCAACCATAGACCCCTTTCCCAGTTGGTTTCAGCAGTAGACCCCTTTCCCAGTTGGCTTCTTGATGCTATAGTTCAATGGGGTAAGAAGGCATTGGTGTGGCCCATGTGCCCAGCACCTTCCCCTGAGTTTGTGCTTCGCTGAGATGCCATCACCTTGCTCCGGGGTCCTCAGGTCACCTCTTTTCCAACCTCTGCTTTGCTATTCTTATATGGTCCATGCACCACCCCAAACCCCCTTCTCCCCTCCCTCCTCTGCAGAAGGATTTCTGGTCTTTCCAGCAAACAGGAACCACAGTCCAAACCATTTCCCACCTCCTAAGCTCTGGGTGTTGAGCCCACTGGGGTAAGATGATGATGCATCTCCACGGGCATCCTGGAGGCCCCTCACATGGCACGGTGATGGGAATGAGACAGGGAAAGCCAGCTCCTCTTCCCTACATAACGCTAGGCAGGTCAGAGGGCTGCTGGCAACCTGATGTTAAAAGGCTTGGTTGTAAGGTGCAGGATACTCACGCCCCATGTCCTGACATGGGGAATGCCCGCTGAGCCACATTTTGGCTCTGAGAGACTAAATACATTGAAATTTTCCCCTTTTTTTCTGGAAGACAAATGCAAGGCAACTGTGACTCCTACAGAGAGCCTTGTCTTGCGTAAGTCCAAGTCTTTCACTATTTCAAATGATTTCTCCTACATCTCTTCTTCGGGCTGTGCTATTATTAATGCCCATTCTCATGAAAAACTGGCAACACGAATAAGAAATACAAGCTACTTTGGCAACCACAATTAAGCATCCATCTTTCAACTTGGCTACGTGGACACTCAAATATTTTAAAGTATTTCACAACACAAGGAAGATGCCAAAATTTAGGTCCATCGGTCTGATCTGATGCGGATACTCAGAGTTTTCAATGTGTGAGTTGTTCTCATGTAAGCACTGCTCATATTTAACATCACCCTCTGCAGAGTTGGGATTTAACAGTTTCTTTGGTCATTCTGAAGCCTTTAAAACATCAGTTTTTTAAAAACGCATTTGGCACCAAAAATCATCTCAGAACTGTCACCAGAGGGGAATTTTAAATAGGTACATGCTGACATTCAACACCCCAGAAACAAAGGACACTTGTTCTTACCTTCATTAGTGACTTGTCTTGCCTTCTGATGTCCAGCAAATGCAGGTTGCCAATGATCGGAAGAGGAAACGGACCGGGAGGCAAATTTAAAGCTGATTGCTTAAAAACTTTTAAAACATAGAGCGCAGCTGATAAAAGCAATGCACACACCCCACAGATGAAGAGGGGTGTGAAGGCAGCCATATTTTGATGGAGCTTGCCTTTCTGGAAAGCCACTGCGGCACCTTTATCAGAATGCTCGCATTATCTTTATTCAGAGTAAATGATGTCAGGGTTTTTGCTGCACTTTGCACAATCTTCCCCTCCACCCCCAGCTCTCCACAAAAATTGGAGTTTATGTCTGCAAAAGGCAAAGTCCAAGCACAACTCGTGGAGGTGCAGGCTTGCAGGCTCCCTGCTGAGTGCAGCAGGGTAGGTTTGCTTCGTTTCCACAGATTCTTCTGCCTGCAATAATTTCCCAGCACCTGGGAGTCCCATACCTGCTTTATTATTAGGCATCGATCATGAAATTTCTCTTTAGATTTCCTCTTCAGCTCTCTGTTCCGTCTTCTTCATCTAACCTCTTCTCTGAACACAGACAACTCTTTACCTTCTGCCTTCTAGCTCTTCACCTTACAAACACCAGTCCCAAAATAATCCTTCAGGGTAGGCAAGCGTTGCTCATCCCACAGCACAGTGAAGGAGAATCAGGTCCTGCAGGCAAAGAGACTTGCTCCAGGCCACGCGTGAAGCTGGGTGGACAGCACCTTCCCTCCTCTTCCACCTTCTGGCGTCCTTGCAGTGAAGCATTTTCTCCCAGTGAAGGGAAACAAAACTGGGCAATCTTCACGTGCAAAAACCTCAGGACCCACTTGTTGCCTCTGCAGATTGGGAGCTCTGTTGCTTATCTCCGCGCTCTTCCTATTTATTGACACTTTGAATCTGGGCTGTTCTAAGGACCTATGCGGCGTGCAGACAGAAAGCTACTCCTCCTTACCTCGGGCAGCCCTATAGCCTGGCTTGAGCGAGTCGCCAGCCCTGTGTAAAACACCTAACAAGGCACTTCTACAATTCTTACTCTTCCTCACTGCAGACTACATTATAGAAAGCTCAATAAAATGCAGTTGCCGACCTCCTCTTGGTTTTTTCCCCAACAGAGGCTGGTGAAAAACAAATTCACTGCTGCAAACTCCAAAGTTGGAATTCAGTCTCGTCCCTCCCTCTTTCATGAGCGGGTCTTTTAGTGAGGGGCATTTCTTCCTGCTCCCCATCCAGTGTTAACTGGTACCACTTTCACTCTGTACACAACAAAAGGAATATAAAGATCATGTCTTGGGGAGCTGGATTATTGAATCAATATGAATGTGGAAGTTTTTGTAAAAGATCTGCTCTTCCCACTGGTTTCTGGCAGCATCTAACAGAGTGAGACCTGTCAGAGACATTAGTGGAAACACACGTAACTTTTGTAGAATTACCCCAATCTCACAAACGATGCAATGGTCCCATAGGTAGGAAAACAGCATTTGATATCTTTTTTTTGAGCCCTTTTAGATCACATGGATTTTGTACTGCTTCAATTCTGTGATATGAGATGGTGTCAGCCTTGGGGATGCTTTGGGACTGTTCCAAGGTGCAGCAAGGTTCAGACTTACACTGGACACAACGCACATTCAAACCTGGACTCTCCCATCCATCTCAGGCAGGCCACGGACAGACTGGGGAGGATGTGATCTCAGCTTACACCCTGTCCTCTCTCAAACCGTTCACCACCCGGCAACGGTCCATCCACCCCAAACCCACTTGTGTTACAAACAACAGCATTTGTGATAAGACCAGGAGACTGGGAGTCTGGATACATGCGTTTGCGTCCTTGCCTGGACAATGACTTGTCTATGGGGCTTTGAGGAGCGCGGCGCAGGGCTGTGCCCCGGGACGGCCCCGCGGCGCGTGTCAGGGTGGGCTGTGAATGCAGGTTGTGCCCGGAGCCCCGCTCCCCTGGGGCTGACTCAGCCCCCCCCTTTCGCTGCAGTCATTTCTGGGAGGTCTTCTGGGCTCCATGCAGAAAGGAGGTAAGCAGGACATGGAGTAGGAACGGCATCTTCTCACACCGTAAGAATTACCAAAATCAAGAGACAGAGAGATGTCACTGTGACACTGAAAATGTCTCGATGATTCCCGAAGGGAAGGGAGCAAGGAAGCGACCAGCCCACCGCTCCACACCAGCCAGCCCGCCCAGCGGGGGGAAAGGTTACTCATTACCTGCGGGGTGAAGCAACCCGTGAAAGAGGCAAAGCTGGGCAAAGATAACAGCATCTTAGATGGCCTGCAAAAACATTTTTGCCTAAGAGATTTAAGTTAAAAATTAAAATGAAAATTAATCTTTATCTAGGAGTAAATGATCTCTCTGAAAAAAATCAAACCTCCCCAGTCAGGGCAGGGTCACGTCACAAGTCACAGGAGAAATTACGGAAAGGGAAGCACAGAAAGAAAAGCCCTTACACAGAGTGCCCCGGGACCGAACCACCCATGGATTTGTAGTTGGGAAAGGAAGCAATTCCTTGGGCTGTGTATAATTATTTGGAGGTCAAAGCCCTTCCAAATCAGCCACTCTTGGGCAGAGAGGACTAGAAAGCAGAAACTGAGGTCTCCTTCCCTGCATCTGCCCTTGGAGCCAGCAATGGGCAGGTGGGGATAAAATTCAGACTGTGATAATCACTATTTCTGGATGTATCCTACTGTAGCTTTGCCTGCTCGGGAACAGCATGCCGCTCGAGCCCTGCTCCTGCAGGAATCAGGAGAGCGAGCCTTCAAAATCTTGCACTGTGGTATTCAGGACTAGATTGATCAGGTGGATAAATCTGTCCCCCAGAGCATCACCTGGCAATTTTGAGCAGCATCACGTTATTCACCAGCCCGCACAGCAGCTGCGCGCGGAGCGCGTTGGGATGCGCTCTCCAACCCTGCAGCAAAGTCCCTGTCGCAGGCAACTGCGTCCCCGGCCCCTCCCGTAGGTGGGCAGCACTGACGAGTTCATGTCCCTTCTGGGCATCTGCTGGCTTTGTGCAACAAACAGGAAAGAATTTAAGTTCTGCTGTAGAGAAAAGGCCTCAGTCCCAAAGCAGGTTGCCCAATTCCTTTATTCTAGAATATTTTTCAAGGTGATTACAATGAAATAGCCTCGCAGCAGCGGCGAATGCTCCGTCCCCTGCCCTAGCACACTGGGCAGCTCCACGCTGAAGCTGCTTTACCTGACAAGCACTGGGCCGAGACATTTAGTCTCTCCAGGGGTCAGCCTGGCAGAAATTCTGCTCTCAGACCTTTTAACTCTTTTCTCCAGGGTTTGCTCTTCATCATCACACTGGGCTCCTCCTTCCCCAGCACCACTGGCAAACCCAGCTGCAGCACATTTTAAAGGAGAATTTCCCGTGCTTTTTAAATTCTCCTTCCCTGGCATTCTCATCCCATCTGCCCGGTCTCTGATCCTCGAAGCTTCAATCCCAGGTTTTAGCTGGTGCTTAACTATGCACAAACGTGTTAAGATGAATACTTTTTCGCTCCTCTCTTTCCGCATAAAGATTTCAGCTTCTCGCCCTCCCTTTTCTCTCTGAAAAAAAACTGCTTCCCGCTCCGATCTGCTCCCTGATGGTATAGGCAGCCCTGCCCTGCCTGCACGGCGTTTACCTGCACAGCAAGCTCTGCACATCCGAGCCTGTGCCTGGGTGGCAAAGCCACGTTGCCATCCCCAGCGCTGCAGGAACAGCCACCTCAGCTGCCCACATCACCCCGTGCCAGCCCAGGACGCATCCTCACGTCACCGCTGCCTTCCTGGCATCGACAGAGCCTGAGACCGGCAGTTCTTCCAAAGCAAACACGAAATCACGGGCAGGCAAAGCCTCCCACCTCCGCAGTCCCGCGTTGCTACACACCAAACAAAAGCCAACCTCGCCAAGATAAAAAGGTCAGGCCTCCAGGCTGGGATTTCAGGTTGCAACCGTGAAAACACCATTCCCTCCCTCCCTTTCCTGCCCTGCCCACGAGTGGGCTTTTCCTCCCCATCTCCACGCAGCCCCTCTCAAGCAAGCATGAGAATACCAGGGGGACCGTGCCCTGGGATGCCGGCGGGATCAGCGGGAGGCTGCAGGACCCGCGCAGAGGGGAGATCAGCCGGGAAGGAGCCAGCAGCCCTCCGGCGTGGGTGGCCTCGGCAGCACTTTCTCTGCTCCACGGATACAGCTTGCAGGCGGCCACAGGAAAAAACTAAGCCCTTCTCCATTTATTTTTCTTGCAAGCTGTGTTTTAAATATTACCCTGAACGGCCCTTTGAAGCAGCACGAGCTGCCTCAGACCTTTCTCTTCAGCTAATTAACACGTGCCGACAACCGTGACAGCCTGGCGCAGCGAAGCTGGGACAGCCCCGAGCAAGCTCTGGCCCAAACCCCACCGCCCAAACCCCTCCGCGCCTTGCACAGCCAAAATGCTGTTGACCCTGAAAGCAACAAGTGCCTTTAAGTCATTAATCCATGCACAAGTTTTGTCTTCTAGGTTGGAGCTGCCTGTCGTGAACTTGTGTCTCGTAACAGAGCTCGGGAGCACCAGCTCTTACTGGGTTTGGAGAGGTTTGGGGTTTTTTGTTCAGAGCTGCAGGCCAGCCATTTGTCAGAGGAAGGTTAAAGTGCTTAAATGGTGTTAAGTGGAATACAAGCTTCTCCAGTCCTGTGTAGATTGTCTTTTAAAAAGCCCCATCATAATTCTGCTGCACTCTCGGTTCCTGGGGTCCATCACTCATTTCAGGGATGCTGTTCTCCAGCGGCAGCACTTTACCCTTCATTTGAATGTGAAGTGCACTCCAGCAAAAGAATTGCCATTATCCCTGGTTTATAGAAGGAAAATCCAAATGGAGAAGGGAAAGAATTAGTTCAAAGGCCACATGAGACAGTGATAGAAACAAGAGCAGAATCGCGGTCATCGCTAACAGGCGTACCAGAAAGGGCGACACAGTGAACATGCCCCCAGCAGATAATGAAGTAACTCAATCTGTCACAATTAGGGTATTTTATCACCCATGGAGCGCCTGAAACATGACTTGCAGCTGTAAAATCCAGCCTGTGGTTTTCAACCTGTAGACTCAGAAGCGGCAATACCGAGAAACGAGCCCATCTCCATTTGGTCGAGATGGTTTTAAACGTTCGTTTTAAACGAACCCAGACCTCCCCTGGAAGCATTTTAAGGATT